CACTGCCTTATGGGTTTCCCAAAGTTTTGAACTTGTTTGATTTTCGTGTCTCAGTTGTGCAAGGTATACAATGTTTTGCATAATCCACCTTTACTTCGTGGTCTATATAATCTTGTATTCCCCACGAGCCTTAATGTTAAAAGAGTGGCTTTGTCATCTATACCCAGTTCATCCAATGATGATTTTGTGCTACTGGCTATATACAATGGAGGTAATTTGTGTTCTATTCGGTTAGGAGGTGATAAAAGGACTCTATATTAAGATTATGTTCACATAAAATTTCATGATGTTATCAATTTCAATGGGAAGTTCTTTGCCGTAGAGTCCTATAGTAGGCTTTTGGTATTCGAAGAATTGTCTTTGCGGTTGATTGGGGTTATTGGACCCGCCATTGGGGAAAATGATATATATGGTGTGGAATTTAATCTGGTTGAGTCTTCCGGTAACTTTTCTTGATTCACCGTAATTTCGATGCAGATTCAGGTACCCTTGATCCGTACGCAGATGATTCTGTACACTGCACTAGGAAAATGGTGACTGATTTTAAATTCTTTAAGCTGAACCGACAGCTGCGTGCTTGGGAGGAGGTTAAGAGTTTTGGTGATCAAGTGTTGTTTTCTTGGAGACGATTGCTCATTTTCTGTTTCCACTCAAGAATTTACTGGGTTAGGACCTGATTGCCTTTATTTTGCTGATCCAGGTGATTATTTTTATCATAAATATGAGGAAGATTAGATGGTGTCAGGGGAAATCTAGGCGATACATTTTTCGGTGTATTTAACCTAGTGGATAGGAAGGGAGGGCCGCTGGCATCATATCCTGGATATTCTAAGATATTCTGGCCACCGCCAGCTTGGCTGCAGTCAGGTCCATCCTCTTCAATTGTAATTAGAGGAGAGATGGGAAAGAACAATAAGAGAAAGAAAGAAAGAAGGAAATCCCCAATTGTAGATTGCCTTTTGATGCTACAAGCCTCGGGCATACACATAAAAGGGTATAAACAAGGCGGTGTGTTTAGATTCAGTCACTCTGTCTTTGCTAGAAGCAAATCTGTGAAACCTCCCCCTTTACCCATAGCATATGAGCTTTTTATATGCCAACATATGCTTCTTCGTTTTGTTTTCATCTTTGATACTAGTTCTTATTGGCATGTATGGCCTGTATAGAAGTCTTGGCATATGGGGTAGGCGGTTCTTTAGCTTTGTACATATTACACGGCTTGTTTAGTTAATGAAAGTATTTCTATTTGCTTAAAAGAATAAGTCAATCAGATCTATCCTCTTACAGATACTGTTTTCCTTATTATTGTTTCCTTTCCATTTTTTCCCTTTGAAGGAACAGGAGTTACGTCCCTTCCTGTTGGATTGCTTGAACGATGTTATAATCTGTGAAGGATACCTCTGTATCAAGGAGGCTTCCTTTTGTTTTCTGGTTTTCCAATGAAAAACGCTTCCGAATACTCAACTCAGACCATATTTTCCTTCTACTAAATATATTCACAAAACTTAATCCTACAATCTCCCCCATAAAAGAAGATCCAACTTCAAAAGGTAAAAAGAAGAAAGATAAAGGAATGAGTGGGGGTCCAGGTAGGGCTGTGGTGTGGTGTGGGGTTTTTATGAGATGCATCTCATGGAGTAGACGGAAACAGCTGAATCGACCGCCGGTGCATTGTAGATCCGCGGATGGTCGCTCTCCAATCCATAATCCATCATCGGACGGTATTCTAAATCCTCATCATGATCGTAAACGAATTCTGGAATCTCAATCTCGTTCCTCCTCACGTGCTCCCACAGGTAATCAAGCCGGTTCACGTACCTCAGCTTCCCGTACAACCTGCCACACCCAAACCAAATCCGCCAGGTTTATGTTAGTTAAACCAGCACGCGCCACTTAACAAAAGTGGTGCTAAAATAAGCCAATCAGAGATTTGGAGTTTTCAGGCGTTTTACCCTCCGCTGAAGAGAAGGCGGCCGAACGTGGCGAGGAAGAGCCGTGCCTGGAGGCCAGGGTGCACGAAGTACACGGCCTGGAGATTATTCTTCACATTCATCGGGATTGCATCGTAGATTGCTCGTAAGGCGGATATTCCCGGAAAGTTCTCGCTCCTTTGAACGCCGGTGTGCACGTATACAACCGAGAAAGGCTTCCTCCCTAGCCTGGGAAAAACATTCTCCTCCAAATACGCTTTCAACGCATCAACGCTCAGAAACCGAGCTGATCAAAATCAAGTCAACGGAAATTTCAGATCGTATTATTCTCGAAACTAGAAATGGAATGGAATATTGTATCATAGTGTTTACCCGGAAAGAACTTTCCGATGATGCGAAGGATCTTATGGCCGCGCTTATCTTTGCCGTGGATCTTGAAGATGTCGAGCTTGCGAATGAGTTGGTCTTGATCGGAGTTGGAAATCTGAGAGCACATTGTTGTTAATGACGTGAAGAAAACGAAGAAGCAAAAAAATAAAAATAGCAGAGGAGGAGGGGGGGAAGATAGATGAAGAAATGAATGAATGAATTAATATAGGAGAAGACAAGCAAATTAAAGGCGATGATTGGGGCTGCCTGTGACTGATGTGCAGAATTGCGAAAGATATAAAGTAAGGAATATTCTAAGCATCTTCGTTTTTTGGATTTGGACCAGACCAGAGTGGGGAAACTTCGTATTTCGTTCCGGAAAGAAAGACGACTGATATTTTGTAATTTAATACTGAGCGCTGAACTCAAATAAAAATGGGCAAAATCATATGTTTAGTCCCTGAATTAATCTTAGATTCACTATTGAACCCCTCAAACTTTAATTGATTCATATAAACTCCTGAACTCCATAATCTGAGCTATTTAGTCCTTATTCTTACATCAATTTATCCTTATTCCTATGGTAGTTAAAGAATTAAGGGTTAAATTGTTCAGATTGTAGAGTTAGGGGCCTATATGTATCAATTAAAATTTAGGGACTTAATAGCAAATTTGGGGTTGTTCAGGGGCTTGCCATAAAATGCGTTTTGTTCTATAATCTGGCGAAAATTAGCAGTCCAGTTTTAAAAGAAAAATAAAAATATTCGTAACAATTAAGAGATGTATGAAAACTCAATTGGGTAATTTCTTTATGGAAAAATGCATAACAATTGAATTTATGAAAAATTAAATAAAGAAACACTTTAAAATTATATTATTTTAATAAATTTTTATAAAAAAAATTAAAATAATTTACTATTTTTAAATAACAATAATACCATTTTGAATTTTTTCTTGTAATATTTTATTAAACAACTTATAAACACTGATTTCTTTTCTCTATACAGGTCATATGGTAAAACATCAATTTCTTCACTTAAAAATAGCAATTTTGTAAAATGACAAAATTTACTCAATAAACCTTAAGAGAATTGGGGTTTATCTATAAGCTGTACAAGTACTACAATGGCAAAACAATGGATCGATCGACCCTATTCATTAAACTTGAATCCGGATGCTTCTGCCAGATCTGTCAATTCTTGTTCTCCACTCAAAACCTAGAATAAGATACAAGCTTAGGCAATAACAGAATGGATTATAAACAAAAAGTGATATTGAGGCATACTCATCCAAGATTTCAGTCAACAATTTGTAGGGTTGGTTGCAATGTATGGCAAAGGTTTATATATGGGAGCCTGACATGCTATCAAAATTATTTCTGGGGCAAAAAATATAGCTGTTTCGGGGGAGAAAGCTTCATTACCTGCCCATTGATCACCCAGGTGGGGAAACCTTCTATTCCAGCATCTGCACATGCCCTGGCTATCTTTGTTCCTTTCTTATATCCGTTGGGGAAGCATTCCACGTAATCTAACAGCTTTGATGCCTCACTTCCAAATATCTGTTAGGTGCAAAGTTCATAATGAAGAAAAATGTTTTAACAAATGTTATCTATATAAACCACTCTGATTTTTCATGAAAGCAAGCGTCAGAACCAATCTGGTGAAACAACAACAGTCGCACATTCAATAAAGTTGCAGACACTGGCAATAAATTCAACCAAGAAAAGAAAGTAGAATTTCTTGACAGTTTACAGATTCAATGCACCCATACAATGGAATGATTGAATTGTGGAATTAAGGAGTCTGCTACTCATACAAAACCCTACTATTTGTCAGACTAATGAACCACATAAAATTAGACTCGTAAAATGCATATCTTTATATTGATTCTTGAATGAGGTACCCATTTGGTTATGAACTGACTCCTGTTAAGAATCTCCCCAAGAAATGATTTTATATCCATTTGTATCAGTTTGTCTTAGCTTTTCGTGTTTTGGTGGGAGGGGTTTGGACGTTTGACAGCATACCATTTACAACAAAAATGATATCTATTTGTATCAGTTTGTTCTCTCTTTTTGTGTTTTGGTGGGAGGGGTTTGGATGTTTGACAGCATGCCATTTATAACCAAATTAAATATTAATGATTATAAGCAAATGCCATGCTGATACTACAGGCTTAAGGTCAACAGATAGGATAAACTTTTATAGTACCCTTCTTAACAACAAGACTAACTTGTTCCCAATGGGTTTCAGTAGAACTAGTAAACAGGAATCAAAGAGAAAAATAAGCACCTGTTTTTGTTCTAAACAGTGAGAACACCAGAAGGCCCCATACATCTTAGCTCCAATAGAGTGTAGATGTCTTGCAAGAGATAATGCAGAGGGACTTGATGTTGTTGTTATCTCAGTTGTGAAAAATGGAAGTTCAAATTCAGCCGGGCTGCAAAGTCAAGAATAACGAGAGAGAAGTAACTACAAATGTATGTTACAAGAACAAAACTAGAGATAACAATAACTAAGCCTATTTCAAATGAAGTCTTTAAGGATGCAAAAGAAGCTTCTAGTCAAGAAGAAAGACCCTGATTGTGATGCCAGCTGAATTGGGTTGGCTTGGCTTACAAAGTCCATAAAAGTGGTTGCCATAACATAAGATGCATTAGAAGGTACACTAAAAGAATAAAAATATTTCTGATCAAATATGCCAAAAGATGTTTCTGTTTGGATAACAGCTGTGTAATCAGAAACATATCTAAACAAGAAACTTTAGTTTGAATTTTGTAAAGAAATTGCTATCACTTAAACAGCCAAAAAAGGATACCATAAACCATGCTAGTTCAGTCACCTAGAGGGGACAGTTTGAGAAGTACTGTAGGCAGTGTTTAGTGTAAGAATCACCAAGGTGGCTATGCATATCTCTAAACCCACCACCCTTTGTATCTCCTGCAACCCAACATCCTACAAGAGAACCCACAGATAACATCTCTAATCATTATCATATTAGACCAACAAAGCACCATTTTATAACAAATAAATTCAGGTCAAGGAAAAAGAAGCAAATGAACACACCTTTGCACTGATGAAAAATAGACTGAATGACAACAGAGCTGACACTAGACAGTAAGAACATGATGTTCCAGCAAACTTTGTGCTTAGTATGTACAAAAAATATGCACTGGCAGCTGCCATGGAGGTAGTGCTCCCCAATATCGCCAGCCGACCATATGTTTCACTGAGCCCAAAAGGTAAGGTCTTTGCGTTTAACTGCAGACTAAGTGTCATAACAAATCCATATGACACCAATCCAATCAGTGGAAGAGGAACACCTGGCAAATGCAAAAGCACTATCATTGAAATCCTCTTTCAAATATATTACCTGCAATGTCATTCATATGCATTTTCCAGTCAAATAGAAATCTCATTTGTATAATAATGAACTACACTCAACTATACTCAAAAATAGGACATATAAATGCCAAATAGTTTGGTAACAGCACGACCATTTGTTTTTAAACATAAGCTGAACAATAATTATAGTGAATAATAGCAGGCACGTATGAAGTTGCATGCCACTAGCACTCAAAATCACAAAATTGTTGCTGGAAATGGTAGTTTGCTTTCTGAATTTTTTTTCTCTATGAACTTTACTAACATATTCACTACTTCATACAGAATCAATATTTCTAATCCTCAAACTTTAAAGCTGCTAGTTAAAGAGGCTTAATAAACAATTCTACATTCTCAATAAATTAGAGAACAACCCAGACACGTTCTATACAATTATTCAAGGATTCAAGTTATAACTTCCAGCAATTACAAGTTACAACCTTACCAAAAACAGCTGCATTATCACTGTTGAGGACATCTCCACAACTCCCACCACCAACAGGGCAAAACACATCGGAATTGCTGAGCTTGAGGTAAGTTAAGTAGGCAGTTTCAAGGAACCCAACAGCTCCAATCCCTGCACACCACTTGTACGTCGAACTGGACAACGAAATTGAAGACGAAGAAGTCGTTTCTGCTTCCGAGTCAGCATCTTGACTCGGCCTCCACGAGGAGCACTTAACAGGAAACACAGACACTCTCCGGTTCAAAACTCCCTTGAAATCAAAATAGGAAACCATGAATCATAAAATCAAAGAAACACAGAGCACCAGCACGAGAGGAAGAGACTACCTTGATTTCGACGGTAGAAAAAATAGAACGACGACGGGAAAAGCAGCAGCGAACCAAGACTGGAGAAGACAATAAACCGGCGAAACTTGCCATCGTCCTCCAGATTCCAAGAGAGAAACAACAAGGTCCCTCATTTTCATCACCTAAAATCTAAATCTCAACTGAAACGAAATGGCCCATATCCACAATGGTAAATGGGTCGTATATTAAGTCCAGACTCCAGAGTTTCCAGACCAACCCGGAAAATGGATGAAGACCCGGAACCCACACCCGACGGTGACTGCTGACGTGTAATCCCGGCGGCCAAACATTGAGAACCGTAAAGATACGATAAACACCACACCTCAACATTTTCAAGGCTCAAACTTATCCTCTAATAATTCCTTTGTATCTTTCTGAATCATCTCATCGTCAGCAAACCACCGGAGCTAACGTGGCACTTATCTCCCCGGACAGACCCATTATGTAATCTATTCCTCCTCTCCCTCACGATAATTTTACATTTCA